ACATGGTACTGGACCTGGCTATCTGAGAGACCGCCTCCTGCCATTCACCTCCCAACCACCAATAAGATCGCACAGGTTGGGCCTCCTTCGGGTCCCGTCGACCGGACAATGCCGGCTGGTGGCTCCCCGAGGGAGGGCCTTCTCTGTAGCTGCACCGGCCTTATGGAACGAGCTACCTGCAGAGATCCGGACCCTTACTACTCTCCCGGCCTTCCGTAAAGCGACCAAGACCTGGCTGTTTTGGCAGGCCTGGGGCTGTTGATGGAAATCCAACCCCACGTGATTGAATGGATGATATCTTATTTTAAATAATTGTATTTTTAATATTTTTATGTCTTTACTTTTGTTGTGAGCCGCCCAGAGTCCCTAGGGAGGGGCGGCATACAAGTCTTATTAAAGTTGCAAAGTTGCAAAGTACATTTTAAGTCAAATGTAGTTCACTTTGATCATTCTCCATGTATTTGTTTTCTCTTCCTCCTCTATGAAGAATGCAGTTCATTTTTCATCCAGCAGGGGTTTTGAGGAGTGTTATTCCCCCCCCCCCAACACACGCACACCACCAGGGCTTCAGAGGCCCAGAGGTTTGGCTGCCCACCCTCCCCCAGTCCATGGTTTCCCTCGTGTGACATTGTTTTTGGAAAGCGCAAGTTGGTGTCTCTTTTGCCCCAGCTGAATGATAAGAAGATGACGGAGCGGCTGCAGGATGTGTCGGAAGGGCTGTCCCGGAATGACCTGCACCAGGCAGTGGTTCCAGTCTTGACTGCTTTGATCTCCTATCACAGCTACCTGGACAAGATGAAGCAGGTATTGCCGGAGGGGCAGCGGGACGAGGGGAACGTGCTCTTTCTTCTGCTTTAGGGGCTTCTGAGACTCCTGCATTTATAGCTCTTATAGCTGTTTATAGCTTTTTGCCATTTCATTCCCAGAGGCTTTATAAGCATTAACAGGAGAAGGTGAAAAGCCAAACTCAGCCTAGGAAGCAATAGCCAGTCAGTTCAGGGTTCCAGCATTCGGGCTAGCTGGCCTTAATCGTCGTCAGAGGCTGGTCTGAAGCACCGTGTCAATGCAGCCAGAGGTGGTTGGCGTCCAGGAAGTGAACTGGGAAAGGCTTAATCAGGGGTTCTCCCAATAGCATTCCCCTGGTGGAAGGATCCCATGAGAGCATCTCTCACTGGATCAGCAGATTCCCCTTGGAGAAGGCAGGCCAGGAGACTTCCGACCCTTGAGTCGTGTCAGGTTTTCAAAGGGTTGAGCTATACCCAGAACATCCTGGCAATTGTTACAACTCTCGGCCGTGTGGGAGGCGTCAGTGGATGACCAGCCAGGGCTGCTGCACTTTCCCCAAGGCCGCCTGGAGCAGTGCAGGGATGGGTCTGCTAGAGAGCCTAGTGACAAGGCATGAATTAAGGCAGCCTTCAACTTTCAACATACGTTTAGTAGTAACCATTCAGAGTTGCAAAGGCACTGAAAAAGTGACATGGCGTTTCTCACACTGATGATGGTCTCGAATAGCTGAGGATGATTTCTTGAGAAGGGGATGTAGCCCCTCTTTCAAGAGGAGGAGCACCACCACTTACCAATATATTTACTACCACCCGACTCGGTCTCCTGTCACACACACACACACACGCACGCACGCAGGCTTTGACTGACCACATAAGGCAGGACCCTAATTCACAAGCAGTGGAGCGAATCCCACAGGGGTCTCAGTCTGCGTCCTCAAGAGCCACAGGTTAGAGCTACTCCCTGCTCCCCAAGACAAGAGCCTGTCATTTCAAATGGATTTGCCCAAGCGGCCTCCAAGTTAATGCAAGTGATTTTGTCGCTCCAAAGACCTCCAAAGGTCTAGCATAGAAAGATGCCTGGAAGAATATTTAATTGGAGGAACCTTTTAAAAAAAAGTTTTAAAAAATGATCTTGGATGCTAAACCCATCATAGTCAACTCCCTCATCCAAACAGTCTATAATCAATACATAAAGAATGTTTTAGAGCCCATGTTGTACCTTCTCCTGTATAATCATGTTCTCTCCACCCAGGGGGAGATGGTTTATTGCCTGGAGCATGGGCTGATCTTCCGCTGTGCCAGCCAGTGTGTGGTGGCATTGTCGATCTGCAGCGTTGAGATGCCGGATATTATCATCAAAGCTTTGCCAGTCCTGATAGTTAAGTTGACACATATTTCAGCCACAGCCAACATGGCCATCCCTCTCTTGGAATTCCTTTCAAGTAAGTCGTGGGGGCCCCTGGAGCCTGCGTCGGCTTGTCTCTTCGGGACGAGTAGCAAAAAGCAGCGAGTCTCTGCTCCTTTGGGAACTCTCAGAAACTCCTAAGAGTTTTGACGGTGGGATACTTGAATAGTTGCCCTGTCTCTGAAATTGTTGCCCTTCTTGTGCAAATTTCAGGTGCTTTGACAGTGAGAAGGTGCAGGAAAGTTCAAACCATTTTAGTTTCTGGAGATCATTGAATTACTCTTTGCATCTGGGGTTATATTTTCAATCTCCGCAAGTGATAGAACTCTAGCTCAGGCGCCCAAATTCAGATGTAGCTGGGACTTGAGTGAGAAACCACCGAAACAGGCATTAGCATGCCACTTCCTTTCCCTGGCCAAAAAGGCTACTTGGGAGTCCAGCTGGCCTGTCCATGCATGAGATCAGATAAGCATGGTGGGCAGGCTAAGCTACTTGGCCCAGCCTTGCGCTTGTAGGCTGCTGTTTATGATTTAGGGTGATACAGAATCCCAGCCCTGAGTCAGAAACCTTCATCTGTGTGAATTTTGCAAAACAGGCTATGTGAATTTCCTTTATGTGCATGGAGCAGGATGAGGCCTCTCACCTGACCTTATTTTCTTCTCCCTTCCAGCGCTGGCCCGCCTGCCTCATCTCTACAGGAATTTTGCAGCGGAGCAGTACGCCAGTGTATTTGCCATCTCTCTGCCCTATACAAACCCCTCCAAGTAAGCTGGCTGCTTCATGTTAACTCATAAGCAAGGGATCCTTGGTTTTCTGTTGACAGTTGTTTTGAGAACGGCTTTCCCACCCCAGAAGAGAAGTTAGGTTTAGATGGCCCCCTCCTGTTGTCCCAAGCATGCAGCTGCTTTGTCCTCCTTCCCCTTCTCTTAGGAGACTGAAAGAGGCAGAAGGGGATAGCAATAGCATGTAGACTTCTGTACCACTTCACAGTGCTTTACAGCCCTCTCTAAGCGGTTTACAGAGTCAGTGTATTTGCTCCCAACAATCTGGGTCCTCATTTTACCAACCTCAGGAGGGAAGGCTGAGTCAACCTTGAGCTTGGTGGGATTCGAACTGCCAAATTGCAGTCAGCCGGCAGTCAGTAGAAGTAGCCTGCAGTACTGCACTCTAACCACTGTGCCACAGCGGCTCTTATGGTGAAGAGGCTGGTTGATGAATGTATCGGCTGTGGTGAATTTTCTTCTCAGGCAAATCTCCTGCCTATTGGCCTGAACTTCACGTACAGACTTCTCTGTAGCGCTTCCATTTGCAGGTTGGCCTGGCTGCCTTGTCCCATGCGGTGGTTATTCATTTGATTGACTGCGTTTAATTGATTTATAAATGGATTGATTGTCTGGCAAAGAGCCCATAGGCCCAGACCATCAGGGCTACTAAACGTCCTTTCTTAACTGTTTGTAGGTTTAACCAGTATATTGTATGCCTGGCGCATCATGTCATAGCCATGTGGTTTATCAAATGCCGGCTCCCCTTTCGGAAAGACTTTGTTCCCTATATCACTAAGGTGAGTGTCTTCCATAATTAAGGGAGACCAAGGAAAAGTCCGGCTGCCACAGCTGTTTCTCAATCCTGGCAGCTTTCAGCAATGTGGCTTCCAGCTCCCAAAGTGGGTCTCCCAGCCTGCAGCCGTGGCCTTTGGGGCGGGGGCTGTTCTCATTGTGACATACCTCACAGTTGGTGAGGCTGGGAAGATTTTGCTTGAGTTGATTTTGCGGCTTGATCCGGCTATTCCCCAGCCAGGGGTAGAGGACAGAGGGACTGGCCTTGAAGGTCAGGAGGAAAAGCCACTACAGGGCAAGGGGCCCTCTCCCTCATTCACCTGAAGAGGAAGGGAGGGAGGGGGAAGCACAGTCCAATTTGCACAATTTGGTTCTTCTGGCTGTTACATAAAAACAGCCCTTGGGACATGGCAATGGTGTCCAGAGTCTACGTTGTAGGGCGACATCAGGTGCCCTTTTGGGGGGGGGGGTTCAGCTGGAGGTGGCTGAGACCCAGTGGATCCTCTCTGCCCCTGAAGAGTGTTTGGAGACTGCAATTGGTCCAGAATGCGGCCGCGCGAGTGATATCGGGTGTACCTAGGTACATCAATGTTACACCTATCCTCCGCGAGCTGCACTGGCTTCCCATCGGTCTCCGAACACACTTCAAGGTGCTGGTCATTACCTTTAAAGCCCTACATGGCTTGGGACCTGGATATCTGCGGGACCGCCTCCTGCCACATATCTCCCAACGACTCATAAGATCTCATAGGCTGGGCCTCCTTCAGGTACCGTCGACCGGGCAATGCCAGTTTGCGACTACTCGTGGGAGGTCTTTCTCTGTAGCTGCCCTGGCCCTGTGGAATGATCTACCCGCAGAGATCCAGACCCTTCCCACTCTCTCGGCCTTCCGGAAAGCCATTAAAACCTGGCTGTTCTGACAGGCCTGGGGCAGTTGACCCCAAAATACGGTCCAGCCCCATTTAGAACGGAGTGCATGGTGTGCTGTTTTTAAATCTATCTTTTTTTTCTCTGTATTTTTATTTATTTATTTCTGTACTGTAAGCCGCCCGGAGTCGTAAGGGATTGGGCGGCATATAAATGTTATTAAACTTGCAAACTTGCACACTCCCCCCCCCCCCGCTCTTTTGGACAGGGCTTGCGGTCAAACATCCTCCTCTCCTTCGATGACACCCCAGAGAAAGACAGTTTCCGGGCTCGGAGTACCAGTCTGAACGAGAGACCCAAGAAGTAAGTTGGTCCTAAGGGCAGGAAAGGCTCTTCTCTCTTGGCTTTGGCAGCAGTTGAAGGCGGTTTCTGCCAGAAGGGCTTCCCTCGGCCTTGGCTCACTCGCTCTGGCTGGCTGGGGGCATGGAACGAATGCGGAACTCGGACTCCCCCTCTTGTGTTGCCTGATCTCTTCTCCCCATGTTTTGAGGGGGTTGAGGTGCTCTAGAGGCATCTTAGTTCCTCTCCCAGTTCTGACAGCCATCAGAAGGGGATGCCAGACAGAGACCCTGAGTCTTTGGGACTCAGGTTACATCAGAATCATTGAAATGTTTTGAATCAATCTCCCTCACAGGCACAATTCCCCCTTTTGGCTCTGTCTCTCTCTCCACTAACTTGACTGAATATTTTATTCTCATCAAGCTGAAATATTGTTGATTTGTCAGTCGGAATTGGGATATAAAGTCTCCACAGACTATTTCCAAAACCTCTTGGACTCTGTTCCTCCCCAAAAGAGAGACCCTCTTGGTCAGAGATTAAGGCTTCTAAACAGAACACTCTCCAGGAGACCCCAAACTATGAATCAATTGTAGTCAGTCTTGTGATGTCTTCCTAGAAGCAGCTCAGGTAGGAGATAGAAGAATGTCTTTGTCGCCTGGTAAGAAATGCATTCTCCCAGCTCCTGATGTCTTTCTCGGGTGGTCTTCCTGTTAGGGTCTAGACGAGGGGAATTCCCACTCAGAAAAACTTGCTTGCTTGGAAGCGAAATCATTTTGTTTGGCAGCAAGAGAAATGCCGTCATTCCTGCCTTCAGTCTTAGGATTGTCCTGCTTCAGCCCTGTTGAGTGGAGGGCTCCCTTATGAGCCTTGTACTTTGTGGGTCCCTTGGGGCACAGTTGTGAAGGGCACTTTGAAGTCTCTGCCCACTCAGCTGTGTAAGGGGCTCCCTTGTGCTACACACCTTAACATACCAGCTGCCACTTTCAGTCCGCCTTCGTGTTAAGTTGCGCTAATTTCATCTGGTTGTGTGTGGTTGGTTTGTGTTCTGTTTTATTTCGGGTTGGGGTAACACCGAGCAGTCCGCAGCAAAATGGGCTTGTTGTGTTTTAAATGTTCATGCTGTTAAGTTTTTCTTGTTTTTTAATTCCCTTCCCTCCTTTTTTTGGCCTTTTGTCTTCTGTTTTTTCTTCTTTTCCTTTCTTTTCTCCACCGTCTTCTGGGGCTTTTCTGGCCTTTCACATCCCATCCTTCCAATGATTTCCTTGCTGTGCAATCATGCCTCTGGTTCTGATGCTGCTTTGCCCTTAGTAGCTTTAAAGTAGCCAAAAATGCCAGGCCAAACTTGAATCCGTCTCCTTCCGTGAGAGCCCTGAAGGATCCCTCGGCCGTTGATGCCTTCCGCTCCCGCAGCATCAGTGTGTCTGACCATGCAGCCCACAGGTAGAGATGCTGGGACAGGGGAGGAGGAGCAAGGGGGTCTGTGCCAAGGGGGCTGGGATGCTGCATGTTAGACTCCTGCTTGGCTTCCTAATGCCCAGCCTCCCACTAGCTTTGAACGCATGTCGGTGCATGTTTCAGGATAACAGTCTCCGTTTGGCTTGGCTTGGCTTGAGTGCTTTGCTCAGATGCACCACCACCATTTCTTAAGGTATGACAGGTTGCAGTTGCTTCTGGCTTAAATGGCCTTTCAAATGGCCGGAACGAAAACATCCTGTTTGCTGGCTCTGTGCTTCATAATATCATAGTTCAAAACCTGTGCAGATTCCACGGAGTGGAAGCCTGAGATCTTTTGAAAATGAACTGTAACCACGGTTTGCCATCTCATAATCTTCCATAGCTCCGTGTTTGGTTTAAGCAGTTTAAAACAAGGAAGGCATCCAGAAGAGCAGAGGTGGCGCAGTGGTTAAATGCAGCACTGCAGGCTACTTCAGCTGACTGCAGTTCTGCAGTTCGGCTGTTCAAATCTCACCG